AAAATCTGTTCGTTTTTGCGACAGTTTTAGCCTTATCAGTTCCACTGCTTTCATTCCATCTACATAATTCTGAAATTGCTGAAACCATTCTCAGTTTTCTCGTTCCAGTTTCTCCTCATTTTGGAATATCGGATTGAACAGGGTTTATGGCGTTAGCGTTTCGTTTCTTTCTCAAATTCGTGTAAGTGAATCAAATTCGCTCATTTTGATCGCGCTGCTCTCCAACGGAAAACCTTGACCTCCGCTCATGGAAAAAGTAATCTGTTCGTGACGTCTCTCATTGTTTCATAGTGTTTTCACGAACTGTCACAAAACGCCACATTGTCGTCGATGTCAACTCAACGATGCGCGCACTCACTGAGTAAATACGACAAGACTCTTCTTTTCTTTTTCCATAGCGGAAAGCTATTGTTGAATATGGCTGTATCGTGCAAGCTAGACGGTCACTGAAACTAAAAACAACAATTTGAAAAGCTGTCCCAAAATAGGCCTAAGTAAGGGCTTTTTTAATATGGTTGCGTTGGCGTGCGAGACGCATTTGCTTTGCAGAACGACATAAAAATGGTAATTCATGTCTGGATTATGCACTTTGCCCTTTCAAAATGACTTCTTTCGTAATTAGACATTTTATTCGAATCCAGAGTACCCATAACTTGCTACTCCGTAGGGATAGCTACCCGTGCGTCTAATTCAAAAGATTTTTCATGTATGACTCTTTTCATGAGAACCATAAAAACAATTACCTGTATGGAGAAGTTTCTTTAAGGGGTAAAGGGGTGGGTGGCGACAAAAACTTTTTTCAGTGAGTGGCATTAACCACAATCTTTAAATGGATTTTCGATGTGCTCTCAAATCTGTGAACCTATAACCCGAAATTCAAAAAGGAGACGTTCGCCATTTCATAGGTTTTCAAAAATCATTTTGGTTATTAACAAGTAAACAAGCTTGCCCATTTTTAAAACTATGTAGATTTTAAATCTTCGCGATCCTTTTTAGGGCCGCATGCACTAACATCCCCGCGGGGAGCGGATCGCAGCTTAAAAGAAAGCTTTATATTTCGAAACTTCAGATACCTGGATTTCACATTGTGTACCTATCCGTAAGTATTCCTACTATCCTTCACTATGAACATGTTGAACAGGAGCGAGAAGCTGTACGAACCGCATTTTCCAGCTTTTGTATAATCCCTGATGATCCCCGGCGCTTTTCTTTGAAGTCATTTTTCTTTCTCCGAAGTTGAAGAAAAACCTCCAAAGTTGTGCAGATCATCTAAACCGACAGTGCTAAGCATGTTGCTGATAAGAACAAATGATGTTTTGAAGTCATGAAATTTTCGATGATCCACAGGTCGAAATTTGAGGTTTACCGAAAAATTCGACTTTACAAAAACTCATTTGTTCTCATCAGCAACATGCTTAGCACTTTTGTGTTAGATGTTCAGTACAACTTTGGAAGGTTTTCGTTAACTTTGGAGAAAGAAAAGTGACTTCAAAGAAAAGCGCCGGGGATCATCAGGGATCATACTAAAGCTGGAAAATGCGGTTTGTACAGCTTCTCGCTCCTGTTCAACATGTTCATAGTGAAGGGTAGTAGGAATACTTACGGATAGGTACACAACGTGAAATCTAGATATCTGGAGCTTCGGAATATGAAGCTTTCTTTTAAGCTGCGATCCCCTCCCCAGCGGGAGGTTAGTGCATGCGGCCCTTAGAGGGGGGGAGGGGGGGACTACCGTTCGGTCCGCGCTGCCTGAGCAGCAGGCCATATAATCCATTTGTGGAACTCCGATCCAATCGTACATGCTTTTTACTGTAATAAGACGCTGATTGGTTCGCCTAAAAGTTTGGTTTGGGTTGGAGTTAAAGACAGTGTCTCGGCAGAATTTCGTTCTCCAGATTTCCACCTTTTCGTAGCTCTTTCGCCATAAGGAACCCATATCTGGGCTTTTCAGCGCGTGCAAATGGCGAAATTGGGCTCTTTTCGAAGCTTTCCACGTGCGCATTCAGTGAAGAATACGGCGGGGCTCGGAATGACGGAAGCGGGGTGCAAAAGATTTTCCACGCATCTAAACCGAATGCGGACCTGGTTTTTTTCTTCGGAAAAAGCCCATTTTTGCCATTTTTATGCGCTGAGCAGCCCAGATATGGCTACCTCATCGCGAGAAGTCTCCGAAAAGGTGAAACACTGGATAACGAATTTCTACCGAGACACTGCCTTTGAGATTGAAATTCTTTTGCTTGAACTCTTCTTGTGCTTCAACAGTAACATCGTTGTCTCATCTTCTATAATTTCTGGCAAAGTTCTCAAATCACTTTAGAGGAAGATAGAGAGCAGAGGGGCATAGGGTGCGACATCGGCAAATCTTGCACCGTTTTTCTTGAAAAGGTCTCATGCAGCTGTTGAGTTTGAGAAGTCGCTCAGTCGTATTTTCATCCTATTTTGTCACTTTTGGCTTGAACTTTCAAATCTACATCGAAAAATCAAGCTATGCAAAGAGCAAAATGCTAATTTGCTTACAAAACTACCAGACACTGTATTAGTCAACTCAACATTGTGCATTAGAGAAAAATGTCATCGAATCCGTCATATCTCAAGTGTTCATAAAACTCTGTTGACATAACTGCATGAACTGGCAGCGTATTGTTTGACAGTGCAAACGAGTGTCTGTCCGTGCAGCACCCGGTTGGAGTTAGACGATAGACGAGAACGAAAAAACTCTAGCATTGGTTCGTTTGCTTTACCAATGTGGCGCTATGTTGAGGAGCTCGTTGACACCGAGTACGGGATCGTAGGGATGGCTTAGAGTTGCTGGAACAAAAATTTGCGGAAATCCGAGAAAATGATCAGAATAGAAGAGGCTGCTACTGAGGAGCTGCATATGTGTGGAGCGGCGTGAAATTCTGATTTTGCAGCTTTCTGTCCAGGGCTTGGCACGAAGTGGCTTTCAAAAAATGCAGAAAACGAAGTCCGTCTGACTTTCGCAAAGTTTTACAAAGTCCTCTGTAACCCTTATTCAAAATTTCCGAATCGACTAGAAAAACCTATATTCGGACCCACAAAAACAACATCTCCTTTGCTTTTTGTCCCAGAAACGATACCCAGCTTGCTTATAAGCCACCTGTGCCGATCTATCTGCCAATGCTGGATATAAGCAATTATTGCATACAAGTAGTTAAACGAACTGCAGAGTTGGATATGTGATGTAACGATAGAAAAACTGCGAAGTAAAAAATACGGCATCGAAAACGATTAGCACATCTCTTTTATGCTTCAGAATCATCACGAAAAATGTTTTACTAGTAGAAAAGCAGACCAATTTTCTTTTTTTTGAAAAAGTAAGCCGACCAGAAAAGATCCTGATCACCTGGATGGTATGGATCTAGGGAAGTGGAAAGTAGAAGTTGAGTGGAAGTGGAAATTTACTGTGATACTCATTTTATAGCTTTTTGCGATGTCATGATGAATGTAGATCCTCTTACATCAGCCTAGATCCATACCATCCGGCTGATCAAGATTTCTTGTGGTCGGCTTAATCGGCTTACTTTTTCGAGAAAGGAAAATTTATTTGCTTTTTCCCCTCCTAGGGAGATTTCCATGTGGAAGATTTTTATCCAAATGTTTGAACCATCATTATCATCACAAACCAAAAGAATGTTGCTGAACAGAAATTGGATTATAATAGGTAAAAAGGATTTGTAGATTATGATTGCTAACAAATCTCATGCAAACTTTTTGAATCTTGCACTTCGCCTAATACTACAATTCAAAAAGCTTAAAATTTGCACATTTCACATCATTTTCGGTGGTGGAAGCGTTGCAGTTGATTATGTAGTCAACTTCATGAAAATTGGGGTTCTGTCGTATACCGCATAACTCCGTAAAAAGTAACAGGATTTTCCTTTTGAATTCGAGGTGCATAGTGCACCTTTTACTTTAATCAAGTTTTATGATTCAGTGGGCCACAACGGTCTTAGAGTAGTTACTTTCTATAAGTTCTCATCACCGTCCATCTAAGGTGTTCAAAAAAAAACAGACTAATGTGAATGGGGAAGTGTAACGCCGTCCTGTCAGTTTTTTCTCTAATTGGCCACATCTTTGGTGCGGGCAATTATCCACTGCTACGAATGGCATATGCTCGGATTGCATAATGAAGTAATGATTGGATTGGGCCCATTGTTGAGGATGCGTCGATTTTTGGCTTTACCAAATTTGGGGATCTCAGAATTAGCAACGCGTGAAGAAAGTAAAGGAATGTGTTCTGCAAGCTGCCAGCTGTACATTCGCTTATCGAAAAAGGGATAGCTTTTTCTTATTTTTGCTGCGATTCGATATCGCAATGACGAATTGCCGATCGTTGACTCATGCCATGGCTGCAAGTAAATCACATCATGACATTCGTGCTTGATTTACTCTCATTCTACTTATGAGGATTGCTATCAACGACCTTCCGCTCACTTAGCCTCTGAAGTGCAGATAGCTGACGCTTAGCTTATTAGCGAAAATCTAGACACTCATGCGGATCAGAAAGATTAGCGCGATCTGTTCCTGAAATTCGTAAGGCCTTATGCTTTGGAAAATGGGTGGTCAATTTGTAATATAGAGAAGGGGGTGCTGGGAAGGCCCTCATAGAAGTTTTTTATTTTCTGGTTTTTTCTGACAGCCGTTTATGTCGTATCTTTAACAATTTCTTTACTTCGCATTTTATCTGCAGATGTGATGATTCGACTTTGTGTTTGGGCCTTGCATAGAAAATCCAATGTTGAGCCTTTACTGCAAGAGAAGAATTTTCGAGAATGTTGCTTCCATGATTTTGATTGAGAGTTTTCAAGTCTAGCCTCCTCCATTCTCATTTACTTCTCTTGATTTGTGTTCTCCCATATATGGCGTGTTATATCGATGTAATTGATATCGTAAAGGAACACAGAAGGTAATCAGTATCATCTATCATTACGAAATGAACAAAGGAAGTATATGCAAAAATTGTCGGCACCAAGTTTCAGAAATGTTTCCCGAGCGATGTTTGAAAGCTCAGTGTTCGGTCGTATTTCATCCAGAATGTCCGTCAGACTCTCGACTCGTCATACTTCCGCCACCACCTGGTGAATGCTGTGGGCGACCAGGCACTTGCCATTGTGATCAGCAGGTAAAATAAGTTGGACTTTCTAAGATTCTTTTAGTCGTAAAGTAGCAAGTCTGATTTAGAAGTGTGAAGCATTTGTCCCGGTTTGTGAACAAGGCATGGAACGAGTATTAGTAAAAGAAGGTGGTCATCAGCCTGGCTCATGTTGTGATGTATTTGAATGCCGGAAACGAGGTTTGGGAGCTTATAAACCTGCATCTGCTAGAGATGGTACGTATTATATTTTCAGAGCTTCGTTGTGAATCGGTACAATGTCCTTCGCATGTCTTTGACGAGGACGAAGGCGTTGATTGTCCGGCAGACAGTGTTCGTCCGGCGGAACACGTTCCAAATGGCCTATGCTGTCCGGTACGACCAGGGTACGTTTGAATTTCCATTCTATCGATGTTTTTTACTTGAACATCTTGAATCCATTCAAATCCAGTCATTTATCGAATCTTCATTTTATTTTGTGCGATTTCTGCGAGTCAATTTTGAGTTCGGCGCCCAACCATAAATTTTTTTTAAATTGCTCACGATTTTTGATTACCTTGCAAGGTATAAAAGTATTTCATACTTGGTTTGAAGCTCGTAACTCCTCCAATTTTGTTTGGGACTACGGTCCACAGCAAAGCCTTAATTTGCATAACTGTCGCACACGGTACGAAGTTTTTCCTGCAAACAACTTTTCAGGATATTTTTGATATCTTAAACTTTCAGTTCTAAGCTTCCACCTGTTCTGTTCCTTAGGTCAAAAAATATTTATTAGAGAAATTCTGAGTGTGAATCGTATTACGTCTACACCTAGGCTGTTCGAGATGATACGTGCAGTTTGGATTCAGAATAAAAGTTTGTACATAGCGGCAGTCCGAGAATTTCAAGAGCGGGGGGGAATGGGAGAGGAAAGGGTACAACGGAACAGAATTTCAATTTGACGGGCTTGATGTTAGTCACACTTTTTGATAAAATTTCTGGAAAGTTCCATTTTTCGCAAACTTCCAAATTTAAAAAGTGTTCACTTCTCCGTCCCACCCCTCCCTTCCGGTCTCTCTTCCTTCGGTCCGCCATTTCTATAAGCCTATCGTAACCTCCGCTATAATGCCGGTGCAGAACTTGGTTCCAAAAAATTTCTACAGATAACAAGTGTTTGGGATGCAACTGGGACCGTAGGCCGAAAACACTGAAAAAATTTTACCAGATATCTAAGGACGAAAAAGGACTGTTTTGTTGTAAGATGTGTGGAGCTATATATAGAAAAAATTGAGACAGAATGACCACCAATGTCGGGAACATAATACAGACTTGCTTCAAATTATTCAATGGTTTATCGTTTATATCTATTCATTTGCCCAAATCCGATGTTTTAGATGTCGCTGTAGAGCAGCCGTATGTCGTCCAGCCGTTTGTGATGAGGGCAAAAAATTGCGTATCATCCGGAAGGGCACCGGTACACCTGGACGATGCTGCGACGAGTGGACCTGCGATGACGATCCGCAGCCTTTGGTAATCAGTGAAATTTGCTCCAAAGATTCTCTTTACTAAGATTGAATTATTTATAGTCGAAATCTTGCATTCGAGATGGAAAGACGTACTCAGATGGAGAAGAATGGCATACATCATCATGTGAAGTTTGCCGATGTAAGAAAGGAGTTGCCGTTTGCAGTAAAATGTCATGTCCGAAAACACCGCGTAAGGTTTTTTTTTTCGCGACGGGGACTGAATTCGTTTCGAAACTGTGAAAATTTAGCACAATGCTCATGGATTGTCATCCCAGAAGGAGAATGCTGCCCGATTTGTGTTGGTTGTCAAACAGAAAAATTGGAAAAGAAAAGAAAAAATGAAACGTGGCAGAAAGATGATTGCACTACGTGAGAGCGAATATTTTTGAAGTGGTGAAGAATTGTCTTACTATTTGCTTGCAGATGCACTTGTTCGGAAGACGGAACACCTATATGCGAAAAGCATATGTGCCGTACAGAATGTGAAAATCCTCGTAAGGTGGAAGGACAATGTTGCCCTGTTTGTGACGGTAAATTGCCCATTTTTTTCATTTTTTCCATTCCTGGATATGTATGATTTGATGTTTGAGTTAAAAGCTGCATTTTTGGAAGACGAGAACTGGTCCTCATGCGAGAACTAGTCCCATAATATTGTGCCTTGTATCTTAGCCTTGTAGTGCACTTAGGTTACCATAAACACTCGCAGATTGGCCCAAAAGGTGCTATTTGGAAATTAGAAATATAGTCATTTCTTACGGTGTTGTGGGCAGTGCAAGTGCACCTTATCACCAAAAGATTTCAATAACGATCTTTCAAACTCGTATATAATTGTGCAAGAAATAGAAAAATTTTTTTTGGAATTTTCGAATTTATGACAACCCGAATTGATGAAACACGCTCCTCACGTTGAAAATCCTTTTTAACTTAACAATTTTTGCAACTTTAGAACCACTCCTGCTCACAATGCCAGTGGCATGTCCATCCATAGAACATTGCCCACTCCGATGTGAAGCTGGACTCCAGCGTGATGAACGAGGATGCTTCCAATGCGAATGTGTGCCAACAAACAGACCAGAGCAATGTCCGGCACTTTCAACTCAAAATTGTGACAAGTAAGTCACCAGTTCTTACATTCTTCAAATTCCCCTTTTCTTGTAATTCTTGTTTTGAACTTACTTTCAGAATTTTTTTTATTTTCAAAGTTTTCAACTAATTTTCAAAAATCTTGAAATGTATTTCTAATCGTTTTGATTCTAGACAGTGTGCACATGGATATGCAAAAGATGCAGCAGGATGTGTAGTGTGCAAATGTGCCAAATGTCCACCATTACACCAGTGTATGAAACATTGTCTCTACGGATTTGAGTCAAATTCTATCGGATGTCCAGTATGCAAATGTAGAGGTAAATTTATCTTATTCTTTGTTATCTCATAGCTATTCTCTCGTTCAACGTTGAACATTCAACTTTTATATCTATTAGGTTGCTGCAAAAGTAATGGCCGATTTTCCAAACCTTTTTTCCGGGCAACTTTTTTCCATCAGTACTTCTTTACAATGGATGTAGTATACCATCGCCAAGCTGTTTCCATGCTCTATCTAAGGTGCTTGAAACGTGCTCTCATCCTCATCTGTCATAAAGTTACTGAGCTTCAAATAACCGCATCCAAATTCAGAATTTATTGCTTTCACTTTTCCGGCCAGAATTCAAGCGCGTATCAATGGGATTTCTTCGAAAATTTAGCTATTTATGTAATAGAAATTGTCTACATTATGCATACTTGACTGTGTTCTTTGAGGCTATCCAGACTGAGATATCGGCGCCTAAACATGGGTAGCTGTTGCGGTCATTTTATGACCCATAATTTTCTTTTGAAGAAGTCAATCGCCGGAGCTTTGCTCAATTCTGTAAGCGTAGGGCTAGGGTATCCTGTTAGCAGTTTTTGCGAAAATATCCAGCTGTTCAGTACCTAGAAAATCAAAAAATTCTATATTCGGGACTTTGAGGCACACTGAAAAAATATTCAAAAAAGTGATAAATTTCAAATTTCAATTTTTTTCTTTTTCGCAAACGTTTTTGTCCGAATTCTTTTTATTGCATTTTGTACTACTGGCTTGCGGCTACAAGATAGGCTACTTAACATTTATACTAACAAACTTTGAAGGAAGATGTGAATTGTCAAAGACAAGGTTATAGCAGAAGAACCTTTTTTATTTTTCAATCCATATTTTCCTGCCCGTTCGTGGTATGAGTATAAATAAATGTGCGCTGCATTGCAGAAGGTTTGCTGCTTCTGACAGTTTTTACCGCATTCGGAAATGTGAATTCATCCAAAAGTTATAGCACGTCAAAATGAGAATTCGCAAATCGGCCATTACTTTTGCACCAACCTAATACATGTGTTGACTTATTTACTCGGTCTAACACTAACAAACTTACTTCTAATTAGTGGTTCTCAAAACAAAAGCCTCACTAAATCTGCTAGTGCTCAAAATATGCCGCATGATTGTGAAGTGTAGACTCCTTCGGATAAATCGATATATTGATTCAAAATACCGTAACTGTAGATAGAAAAATTGCCAAGCATTTTGCTTTCCAAGAGACTTCAGCCCCGTATACTCATTTCGTTTCAAAGATAATTCTAATAACAACTAATTTCCAGCGATATCCCGGATCGAGGCGAAGCTGACTATACCAGAAAAGATTGGACGGCTGGCAGGTTGGGATAAATGCGTATCGCTTAGTCCAAGTGGTCGTGTAATTGAACGAGATGGTGGTGAATGGTGGAGTGATGGCTGTCGTCATTGTTTCTGCGAACAGAAGCAGGTACGCAGTTGCGGCATTCACATCACTCGCATTCATGGCTAGCGTGTTCTTTGTCTAGGAATACTGTTCGTTGATTTCATGCGCACCAAGGCCTCCAGATTGTGCCGAAGAGAACTGGGTACACGAAGAAGGTAATTTATAATTTCATCTGGGTTGCATCACGTTAATACTAACTTTGGCTTCGCATACTTACTGTCCATCCTAATCAAGGTTTTTTTTTCAAATTCGCAGAACAATTTTGCAACATAAGCGAACCGCCGCGGCTTTCGTGCCAGGACCATGTCTGCGCCCTCCACACTTTCTTCATTATCTCGCTGGCATGTCAGTTCTGCCCGCGCGCACAATCAGTGGTTACAGAGTAACCACAATAAATTTCCTGTTTACGTACTGTATGAAAAGATTTTTTTCCAAAGTTTGGCTGGGCTGAGTAAGACAGAGTTGCTTTTGGCTAGTTGCGCGAGTTTACGATATCATATAAATCGGTGGAAGCACCCTTTGTCTGACTATTCGTTCATGAACAGTTTTTTTTTTGAGGTGCCTGCTGTTCATCCTGCGTGTCCACAGCAAACAAGTCAGCAGTGCTCACATCGAAGCACGAACATACCGTATGCCAATCCCCTGGATCTGGTAGAATATTTACAGGTGCTGTAGACAATTATCAGTTGATTTTTCGTAAGTTGATCCGTTGATTTTTCAGATGGTGAGACATGGCAATTGGCGCCATGTGTATCGTGCACATGCCGCGTCGGACATGTCTTATGTAGAGCGGTCGAGTGCCCGGCGATCGCTTGCCATCATCCTGTCATGCATCCCGATGACCAATGTTGCCCAAAGTAAGTGTTTTCTGCACGAATTACTGGGCATGGACGGTGTGACTATGGATGAAGACTTGTCACCTTTTTTAATATGAGTGCACGAATGCGCTAAAATTGCTCAGTGTGCAGCCTTTTGCATATCGCGATGCCAAGGCAAATTTGGGTAACCGTACTTTTTGGATTTGTTGGGAGCTCCTAGCAAAGCCGTTGCCCCAATAGCAGCGCATAAGATTTATTGGTAGCCAAAAGATCTTGCTCTAAACACCAAACTGTATTTTTCCGAGCACCAATCGGCGTTTTTGATTACGGTTGAAAGTGCGAACTGGACTAGGGTTTAGAGTGACGACCGTGAATCAAAAGTATGAGCTGCGGCTTGGGTGGTTACAGTCGAGTACTTAATCAATCCCCATAAAATTACTTCTTTCTTGCAATTTGGCAACGATATTCCTGGAGTATCCCAGCATGTCGGCGTTCTTTGACGCTGTCCCTTTTACCATAGGTAACCTAAGCTTTCAAAATCTCAAATCTGATAGTACAGGGTGTTTCAAAACTCTTTAAGCCTAGTATCTCGATATATGAAACCGCTGCAGTAAACAACAGTGACTATATGCATTTATCATTGTAGTAGACCAATCAGAATAACCTTGGTGTGGGAAGCTACGGAAATCTCACTTGATGAAATATTGTTCCACTTTACAGATGCCCTACGAATAACACAGAAATTGTGAACGCTGATATGTCAGTGGTTTGCACCGATGGTTCTGGTATAGCCCACCAAGCAGGTATCAAATATTTTAAGTCCTAAGACGCATTCAGGAGAAATTAACACTTTCCACAAATTATGCGAAATGTTCAGGAGCTTCATGGCGAACAGATGACTGCACGTCATGTGAATGTACTGCTGAAGGAAAAGTGATCTGCTATCGACAACAATGTGACGACGATACAGCATGTAATGGAAAGCCGCTAACAATCAAAGGACGGTGTTGTCCCGTTTGTGAAGGTAGCAGTAGTGTCAAGCAAAAACTAATGCTATGATTTTTCCGCTTTCAGATGCACTTTCCGCTGCAGTGTGCTCCTTCGATTCATCCGTGTATAGTGTGGGCGAAGAATGGCGTCAAGACACTTGTACCAACTGTTCTTGTCAGCCTGGTGGACGCACTGTATGCCGCCAACTGGTGTGTCCACAGTGTGTTGAACCGGTACCGATAGAGGGACATTGTTGCCCACTTTGTAAAGGTATGAAAGGATATTTTCTTGTTCCTCTTTTTTGCGTTTAATTTTAAACTTGCAAGCTTGTTTTTGGAATCTAAAGTGTGGTTCATAATTATACGAACACCCAAAATTTTGTAAGTTTTCGGACTTTTTGGGAGAAACTCAAAAAGCCGTTGGTACCACGCGAAAGAGCACAACCGAAAACGGTATATGACCCTTGAGAATGGAAATTGATGTCAATCGTAAATGTGTTTTTGTGCCTAATGCGAATTTTTAGCGGTTCATAATTATACGAACACCTCAAACAAAGGTCCATTTCTCATCCGCGGTGCAATCATTTAGGTCCAAATTTTTTGTAGAGTTACAGTAATAAAGTCTGAAACACCTGCTACACACTGAACCCAGTGAAGCTCAAAAAAGGACCATTACTTTTTTCAGAAGGCTCTAAATGCTTTTGGAGTGATTGCGCTCCAAAAACATCCGTTCTTCTGTGGTTTGCGCGCTCTAACTAGCTTCTACCAAAGCTATGAGATAAAATAAGTCTCTTTTGATAGGTATTTTGTTTGGCGCTCCGAAAATCTTTGCATTTTTGTGCCGTTTTTCAACCAAGTTTCAACATTAGCAAAGAGTCAGCACGATTTCGAGCCTCAAAACTCGCTTCTGAAGCCGTACAATGAAGTAAGTATATGGTATGTAGAAGTTCACAAGACTGTATGTTTGGCTAGAAAAAATCAGCAGCGTTGAGCGTTTGTTTTGGCCACGCAGACGTCATTTCACCAAGAAACACTGTTTTTACTATCGCAATCACACCTCTATTTGGTTTGCAGCTCGCAGCCTCAAGATCAGTCCTACAAAAAACCCAAAAACTTTGGCACAGAAACATCATCATGCAAGCAATGCAGCTGCTTCATATCAAATGTTTGCGCAAGACAGAAGCTGAGTTTTGAGGCTCGAAATCGTGCTGACTCTTTGCTAATGTTGAAACTTGGTTGAAAAATGGCACAAAAATGCAAAGATTTTCGGAGCGCCAAACAAAATACCTATCAAAAGAGGCTTATTTTATCTCATAGCTTTGGTAGAAGCTAGTTAGGGCGCGCAAACCACAGAAGAACGGATGTTTTTGGAGCGCAATCACTCCAAAAGCATTTAGAGCCTTCTGAAAAAAGTAATGGTCCTTTTTTGAGCTTCACTGGGTTCAGTGTGTAGCAGGTGTTTCAGACTTTATTACTGTAACTCTACAAAAAATTTGGACCTAAATGATTGCACCGCGGATGAGAAATGGACCTTTGTTTGAGGTGTTCGTATAATTATGAACCGCTAAAAATTCGCATTAGGCACAAAAACACATTTACGATTGACATCAATTTCCATTCTTAAGGGTCATATACCGTTTTCGGTTGTGCTCTTTCGCGTGGTACCAACGGCTTTTTGTGTTTCTCCCAAAAAGTCCGAAAACTTACAAAATTTTGGGTGTTCGTATAATTATGAACCGCACTTTATGGCATTTACTTGTCTATTTTTATTTGTAAGAGTAAGGATTCTCCTAAAGATACCGTGCCAGCGCCGTTCCAGCTCCGTGCCAGCGCTGTGCTAGTGCCGTGCTAGGATACACTTATTCCTACCTTACTGTTTGATCAACCTCCGACACGGCGTCGGCGCGGAACTGACACAGCTGCGGCACGCGACTTTGGACGCAGCGCTTTCAACGTAAACTTGATAAAGAAACTGAGTAGATTTCATCGCAGATCAAGGCTGGGCAGCGTTCGAAGGAAGCGGCACTTCATTAGCACCACCAGCGCCGCATTCGAATTCACTACCATGGATCGGACTCTGCCTTATGTCCCTAGCTATCGTCGGACTCATTGTTGTGCTGCTCATTCTCTACAAGAGAAGTCGTGGCGAGACAAAGGTGGGCAGTGATATTTTCTTTTTTTCCATCAAGTTCACATGTCAGAGATTAACTGAAAAGTCATTGGTCTAGTGTCTGTTTTGCAGAATTTGTTTCAGAAGTCCTTTGAAAACACGTCGTCCTGTGTGCGATTATCGGGGTCGAAACCGATTGGCTCAATGCCTCATCTAGTCGACTGGCCGCCGAACTCAAGAAAGGATTCGCATGGAGACGGGCAAAGCGAAAGCCTACTGTCTACGGTGTAAGCTACTTTTAAAAAGCATTTTATTCTGATTCTGACCGACTATGCGGTGATTAACACTTTTTGAAGAAATCGTCGTATGAAGGACTACATATAGTTTGGTGCTCGTGGGTTTTGTTGGTGTGTTCGATATGCATTGTACAGTGTGAAATGTAAGTGCGGCTCTTTTGGTCTATCACTGTCTGGGTCTCTGTTACAACTGTTTTCAAAAAACGTGAGCATCCCATTTCTTAAATGTCCTGCCGACGTGTGCGCATTAAACATTGGGTAAACATCTCCCATTCAAGAGTGGAAGTGATGTACTGCAGAGAAATTGCTAAGGCGGTAGACTATAAGTTCTTCGAAGGCAGTGGCTCGTCACTAGGAAACTTGTCAGTTACTAGAAGCGTTAAATAGTGGACCCCTAGTACAAGGTGGCACCAATTTCACCCTCCAGTCATGCGGTAAATCCTGAAACGCGTTTCAGTAGCCCTCCACCCCGCCCACTCAATGGAACTGGACGGTACTGATGGGCTTCTGCAACGCTTTTCCAGGACTTAAAGGCAGTGTCCGGGCAAAAACTCAATTTTGAGATTTTGTGCTTACCCGGGTCTATTCGCTACGCTGAATCCGAAAATGCACATTGGACAGCGCGAAAACGGCGAAAAACGGCTCTAACACAGGAGAAATCAGCAGGTGGGCGGCGTCCTCCCCACTGGGAATTCACGCTCCCAGCTTCCGGAGCGATCTTCTCGGTCCCGACTCCAAGTCAATCAGTCGCACTTGGCCGGTGGCGATGTTAGGACGGCTAGCGGGATTGAGAAGACCACTCGGAAGCCGGCGTGAATTCACAGTGGGGAGGACTCCGCCCACTTGCTGTTTCCCTCCTGCGCTAGAGCCCTTTTTTGCCGTTTTCGCGCTTTCCAGTTTGGATTTTCGGATTCAACATGGCGAATAGGCCCGTACAAGCACACATTCTCAAAATCGAGTTTTTGCCCAGACACTGCCTTAACGCACGGATCGTAAGGTGAGATTGGGGCGTGTGTTAAGCTCCCATATAACATCTAAAAGGGGTCTATTTTGTCGGCTGCTGGCTGTAATATCAGTACTCATGCAAATCTGAACACACGAGGTTTTGACGTGGAAACTAATAGGGGCACTACTCAAAGCACTCTCAGGCAACGCAAGAGATTTTCATCGAGAACAGGGACCGGAAAAATCGTCTGGATGATTACAGTTCGCAAGCTTTGGCGCCGAGACCAATAACCAGGGTCAAGCGTGGGGTGCGGCACGCCACACCTGGGGGGGGGTCGTATTGAGGAGTCAAAAGGGGAGGGGATCGTAGTTGGGTAATCTGGTAATAGTGATAACATGATATTCGTATCCTATCCATAATTAGCATGTCGAATAACCCCTGTAGAAAAAGTGTGAGCGAATTCTGAAGATTCAGGATACTAGGCTACCTAAGTGAAATGGTCAAATTCCAACATGGTTAACTTTGTTTCAAAGGTGAATTAGCTATCCAATTTTGCACTTAAGATAAAGCACTACTCCTTCTGTGTCCACCTCAGGAATCCCGCTTCAGAAGGCCTCGAAACTGTGGAATTAGAAACCAACCAAAATCTCGTTTTTCCCATTTTTCGCCTTTGATCGCTGTGCTTTCACCAAATACTACTCAGAGCTAAGAAGACGAATCAGGCTTCAAACATTCCTATGTTTGGAATGTTCTGGAATCTACAAGGTTTAGGCTATCGATTCATACATTCTTGTCGCCTTCCCTTGCGATCAGAGGTGCGATAGGTGGAGCCGGGCCCCCCAAAAGTGAAGGTGGTTCCAGCTACCAATGGCCAGCCAAAAGTGAAGGTGGTAGTGCGGAACACTCACCTCCCAAAAACGTCGACCGGGGGGGGGGCGTTAACGTCGACTGAGCCTATCCTTCTAGGTCGTTGCCGCCAGTGCGCTGAAAATAAGCAAGAAAAGTTATTGAAAACATATATTTATTTATACGGCGGCATATACATATGTATATTTAAAATAAACTTGTTTGGTAGATGGTGTGTTTTGAAGTGAAAGCCAGCGAGACTTCACAGATTTTATCAATTAAATTTTGTTGTAGCGTACTGCGAAGGAAGTAGGTCGATCCAGGCAGTAACCGCCGAGAACCAGAATTTCGAATGATAAAATGATGAAAAATAGTGAAAAATCATTCCACAGTTACAAATCTGCTGGCTGAAGACCTCCGCAGTTGCGACTGTATAGGTTTTGAAGGGTAGCTGTTGTTCTACCAGACAGTGAAAGAATCAGTTTGATTTGAGGAGTGGCCGCCGAGAACGAGAGTTTTGAAAAACCTTAAAAATCTTCTCAATTTTAGGTTGCTTAATGACAACTGACATTTAAACTCTTATAAATTCGGACTTTGAAGGTGTGTGATGTTGCGACTTCATAGGTTTTGTAGGGTGAGGTTTGCCCTATCAGAATATGTCTTAGCTGTACCGATCCATTGAAACATCGTCGAGATCCAGGCTCTTAAAAAAGGAGGTAAAAAACCGTTTTTCAGCTCATAAGTTCTTCAGAATTGCATAATTCATGTTGCGACTTCATAGGCTGGATTCTCCTCATCAAGAGCTTTCAAATGCTATATAATATGTGGGGAATTCACGCCTCCCACGGCATATGCCCGGGGGTGGAGTACCTTTCTTCACTAATTCTCCACTGGCGGCCTCCCGCCAATACATTGAAATGGGCGGGGTGGAGAATTAGTGAAGAGGAGTACTCCACCCCGGGTTAGAGCCGCAACAAACATTGAATCCCCCACATATTATACAACATTTGAAAGCTCTTGATGAGGAGAATCCAGCCTATGAAGTCGCAACATGAATCATGCAATTCTGAAGAAGTTATGAGCTGAAAAACGGTTTTTTACCTCCTTCTTTAAGAGCCTAGATCTCGGCGATGTTCCAATGGATCGGTACAGCTAAGACATATTCTGATAGCGCAAACCTCACTCTACAAAACCTATGAAGTCGCAACATCACACACTTTCAAAGTCCGGATTTATAAGAGTTTAAATGTCAGTTGTCATTAAGCAACCTAATATTGAGAAGATTTTTAAGGTTTTTCAAAACGCTCGTTCTCGGCGGCCACTCCTCAAATCAAACTGATTCTTTCACTGTCTGGTAGAACAACAGCTACCCTTCAAAACCTATTAAGTCGCAACTGCGGAGGTCTTCAGCCAGCAGATTTGTAACAGTGGAATAATTTTTCACGATTTTTCATTATTTTATCATTCGAAATTCTGGTTCTCGGCGGTTACTGCCTGGATCGACCTACTGCATAGATATATGCTCTTAATACTTTCTTTTACATTCCTTTTGCTTATTTTCCTTCTTTTAAGCTTTAGCAAAAAAAATTTTCAAACCCAAAAGTGAAGGTAGTCACCCTGTACCAGTTCAAAAGTGAAGGTAGGCGGAGCGGCTCCGACTGTCGCACCTCTGCTTGCGATTCACGTAGTGGCGCAGACTTAGCATGTACCGTATCCCAATATTTTGCCAATATTTTACATTTGCATAGGTAAGGAAAAAGGATTATATCTTGCTCTTGAAAAAAGGTTTTCGTATGAAATTTCTGCTATGTAAAGAAGAAGGTTAAGCAGAAACAACGATATCAAAAAGGCAGCTGTTTGATCTGTTTGAAAGTAAGTTAATGGGGTGCGGCACACCCCCTTAAAAGCTGCGGCCGCCGCAGCTTTTAAGGGGGTGTGCCGCACCCCATTAACTATATCAAAAAAACAATTTTAGCGGACAGTATTTATATGAATCGATAGCTTAAACCTTGTGGATTCCATAGGACTGTTTGGAGCCTGATTCGCCTTCTTAGCTCTGAGTAATATCTTGTGAAAGCACAGCGATCAAAAGCAAAAAACGGGAAAAACGAGATATTGGTTGGTTTCTAATTCCACAGTTTGGAGGTCTTCTGAACCGGGATTCCTGAATTGGACAAAGAAGGAGTAGTGCTTTGTCTTGAGTGCAAAAACGGGTAGGTAATTCACCTTTGAAACAAAGTTAACCATGTTGGAATTTGACCACTTCACTTAGGTAGCCTAGTATCCTGAATCTTCAGAATTCGCTCACACTTTTTCTACAGGAATTATTTGACATGCTAATTATGGACATGTTGCCCATTATGTTTGACGAGGCCTTTAAGTAATGCTATCTTGAGTGTATAGTTCAGGGGGGGGGTCTTATTAAGATAGCTATCAGGGGGGGTCTTAACCAGCGATCGTGTGCCACACCCCTTGCTTGACCCTGCCAATAACTTTCGTGATGAGTCGCACGCCAGATACGGTTTTGGGGAGAGATTCGCAAACGAATCTCTCGATTGCGGATGAACTATTTTTATCTAGCTCCTCCTTCCAATTCGCTTACACTCAAAACCCATGTGTCTAGATTTGCATGGACATCTCCCTCAATGATGATAGACGGTTAGACGCTGTACGCTGTTCAAATAGATAAGTTCTACAATGCTACATTTGAAGGGTCCCTTTTATGTAGTACTAGCTGGCTTACCCGTCTCCGCCGTATCCGGACCAAACTTGGCACACATACACTTCGGGCCCCGGCGGGTGTCACAGTCCACTTTTCGTTATCGATCGATGTCGATTTTACCGATTTTTATCGATTTTTTTGCAGAGTTCACCTACAGGGCTAGGAGTTGGCACAGGGGGGGGGGGGAAGTGAGCATGGGGATTCCGTATACAATATTAGTTTTTATAATTATCGATTACTTTTAACGATTTTATCGATTTTTTGTAAATTTTGACATGCGAGGCTGGGATTTTGCACAGGGGGGTAATCGAGCATGCTGATTACGAACACAATATTAGTTTTCAAGATCGTCCATTACTTTTATCGATTTTATCGATTTTTTGAAAATTTGAGCTAGGGGCTGGAATTTGGCACAGGGGTGTAATCGAGCATGCTGATCACCCCCCTTGGGGATGATCAGCATGCTCGATTACCCCCCTGTGCCAACTCCCAGCCCCCTAGCTCAAACTTTGCAAAAAAATCGATAAAATCGATAAAAGTAATCGATAATCCCGAAAACCAATATTGTATTCGGAATCTGCATGCTCGATTACCCCCTGTGCAAACTCCCAGCCCCGCAGGTCAAACTCTACAAAAAAATCGATAAAATCGATAAAAGTGATGGACGATCCTGAAAACTAATAATGTGTTCGTAATCAGCATGCTCGATTACCCCCCTGTGCAAAATCCCAGCCTCGCATGTCAAAATTTACAAAAAATCGATAAAATCAATAAAAGTAATCGATAATTATGAAAACTAATATTGTATACGGAATCCCCATGCTCACTTCCCCCCCCCCCCTGTGCCAACTCCTAGCCCTGTAGGTGAACTCTGCAAAAAAATCGATAAAAATCGATAAAATCGATATCGATCGATGACGAAAAGTAGCCTATGACACCCGCCGGTGCCCGAAGTGTATGTGTGTCAAGTTTGGTCCGGATCGGTTCAGAAATGGAATTTTCTATTCGGAACATACGTACAGACAGACAGACAGACATACAAACAGACATTCAGCTTTATATATAAGATTGTGTTGCATATCCCCTGTGTCGCCAAGCATATGAATGCAAGTTAAAGAAACTTGAGAGAGGAAAGCAGATTCTATTCTTTGGAGAGTTGTCAGTGTACGAGCCTTATATGTGGATTAAGGGGGCATTCCTTTTGTTCGAAACGACAGTTTATTTTCTGTTTTTTCTGACATCTGATCAAGTTCTTATTTTTAATACCACAAGAACAGTACTTTCACCCAAACTGACCATCCCTTTTGAGACCCGAATTCCTACCCGCACAAATTGCTACTGAAATTTCCTCCTCATAAAGGCACTGTTCAAACAAATACGGAATTGGAGCTTCCTGTGGGGAAGCATTGGGAGACCTAAGCCTTGTCTAAAAAGCAATTCGTATGGTTTATTCCTGCCCGAAACATTGCCTCCACAGCTCAAGAGCAACGGCTCGGCAGAATGACAAATTTGGGATGATCATCGACCTCGGTTCCCCTGGATGAGCTAAGTCCAAGACTGTGCTTTGCAGCTTCAAAAGATATCAATAACCCCCTTTTCCAGAAGTGAAAAGTGCTATTTGGGCGGACGGCGTATGCCTGTCCTCGAGCGCGATTGGCTCGTAGGTACGGTGGGTACGGTATGTCCACTTACAAGCCAATCGCGCTCTAGAGTGCAGGATGCGCGGTCCGCCCAAATAGCACTTTTCACGTCTGGAAAAGCGGGTTATTGATATCTTTTGAAGCTGCAAAGCACAGTCTTGGACTTAGCTCGTCCAGGGGAACTGAGAGCGATGAATATCCCAGAGTTGTCATTTTGCCGAGCCGCTGCCTTTGATCCACATCGTATTTTCCACCGTGCTCGAGACTTCTTATTGGTCCACTCTCAAGGTACCCAATCCGGCTTTCAGTTCAACATCGATTTTCACGGTCATGAATGGATTATATGAGTTGGAGCTTATTGTTAGACATCAGATTAGCCTTGCCTCCCATTTAATAACCCTTAAGAAGTCTAAGCACCCAAAGCCCGATCACTACCTTTGACTGGTCGCTTTGGCCGAAAGTACTGTAGCTAGGGTAAAATTAGCAGTAATTGACAGTGCTCTTTCAGATCTGACACAATGACTGCAACCAGCTGCGCTTCATCTGGAGCAGATGGACATATTGACACTCGTCCACTGACGGTCCGTTCTAAACATCAGTTCCAGTGTCGAGTATGATTCGGTAGAAGGTGTCCACAACGTTATCGAAAGGCGTTATTGCTGATTCAGCAGAATTTGTCAAATAACGCAGTCACCAGTGTCGTCATGTACAGTTCATTTTATTTTCTTTGCATATCTGCCAGACACACCATCATCTGCACGCTGTCCCAACATTAGAAATCAATATTTCTTCTATCAAAAGTCATCTTTTTGGCGATGGCGTGCAATTTTCTCAAATCAGAATCGTGTACACAAAATAATACGGTAGCTCTGTTGTCATTGGGTGTTCGTACAAGTTTCGGATCAAAATTTCGAATTAAGCCGATTCTAATCCAAAGACATTGATCTGAACTTGTATGGATTCATCTAAATTAATCATAATCGCATGTAAAGTAGGTCACTTAGGTACAAATCATCTCCTCCTTATCTGGTTGTGTCCCATTATATTTGTGGAATATCTATCTCTTAGCTCACTTCAATACGATCACGGAATGGTGTCAATCTATCCATTTTCACAATCAAATCCATAGAAAGTTGTCAACTGATCATGTATTTGTGTCGTCTCCTAAATTATCATGCTCCAATCCGAAAGCATTTATTCTTTTACTCGCGAGTCCCAATCGCAACACAGGGCATTGTATATACAGCAGCAGCAGCAGCCACGGCAGCAATGTGTCCTTATATTTTTCTTTTTTTCCTGAAACAGCTGATCGGAATTCCCGAAAATATGTTCGGTTTGAATTATGCATTTTGGCCATGAAAAAAAATTGCTGTCTCATTATTTGGTGGAAATCAATTTGGTCCAAATGTTCGTTTCATGTAATAATACATAATATATGTGTCGCATCGAGCTTTTGTTCATACGCGTTATCAATGCATATTGATTATTATTGATTTTTCTGAGGCGTTGCGCGTTGCACGCATACGCGCATGCACAAGTCGTTCTGTCCGGTCATTTTTCGTTTAGTGTTCGTGTCTTCGATGTTTTGTGCTAGATTCGTGCGAATAAACAGCTTTAAATTGACGTTTGAAAAATTTTTATTTGATACTTGCTAAACAATATTATAATTGAGGCATGAACCCGATTTTTAGTGTTTTAATGGTTGTTTGATTAGAAACTCTTTTTCATAGCGTCATATTCTTGAGTCCGAATCGATCGATGCAACACATAAGCCGTAGTCTCCATAAAAGCGATCAGAATTGCGATATAACAGAGATCCGCATGGAAACTAGTTGCTACAACAAATTATTTTTGTTGAGCTTTTTTTTTGGCTCAAAAGCCTACCAGCATTACTGTCTGCGCTCGCGTATACAATCGCAGTGATAGTCAACTCGCAGACAATGAGTACAGTCTGAAATACAATTTCAATTTGGAGATCTTTTGATGAAAAAACTGCAAGAATTTGAAGCTTTCGATTTCTATTAGGTTTTATCTCAATCTATGATATTAAATGACATCCTTGAGTCATTTGTAACTCAACTTGTGAGTCTGTACAATGTGCGCGGCGAACGACGACACCCTAGCTCCTCATTAAAATCTTTTCGCGTTATGACTGTAGAAGTGTGTTTCACCAACTATTACAGATCCAAATCAAACCCAATGTAGAGGAACAAATACATTAAATAGGCACCGTCGCCGCGGAATGATGGTCCTAACACGATGTACAACAGCGAAGCGAAAGGACCAGCAGTCCGCGGAGTGTCTAAGATATTGGTTCCTCTACCCAAACCAAAGAAGGAGAGTTCACTGGAAACGAGCAAATTTTTTACAAGTCGTCAAGTGAAGCGCATGGGCAGTGCTAGTGCTTAATCATGGTATGGGATGGTAGGCGCCAGACTTATCCGGTTCAATCGATTCATGCGGTTCACTCCTTGCTAGTGGTCAAATCACTAGATTGACCAATACCAGTTGAACCGGGTAAGTCTGGCGCCTACCCATGGAGTGCTTAAATTCAGAACTAACACATTTTCCGTAAATTCGCTTAGCATTTACTCACCTTTCTGTAAAATCTTGTAAACATATTTGGTGAATTACCTGGATAAGAACATACGAGGGCAATGTGAAAGGCCACAAAAAACGAGAGTCGAATATCTTCACGACATTTGCTATCACGTTTAGCAAAATGATTAATATGGACAACGCACTAACCCATTTCACTGCAATTCTCTCAGTTAGAAATAACTCGCCTTCATAAAAGTTTGATTTCTAGAAATTTCAATAATGTAATTTCAATAATTTCACTTTCAATTCCTTCTCTGAGACTTGAAATTGTTAGCGCTACAGCATGCCTTTTTTCACAGTAGTCAGTAGTAGCGCCTTAAAGGCAGCGTATACCCAAAACCTAAGTTACCTAATTTTCTAGATTTTTCTATACCGTGTATATACTGGGCCCAGAAGAAGACCAATTGCGTTGGTCCGGTCTCCCAATGTTGCTTCGAGCGGAGAAAACCCCCCTCAATTTTCTTTCATTCCGCCCCTTTTCTTTCACTCCGCCTCCTCCGGACGAATCCACGACTGCAGTTGCGGTTGCAGTTTCAGTTGCAACTGCTGTTGCCTGCAACTCCAGTTGCAACAGTGTAGTTGCTTTTTGCATTCCGCCTCCTTCGGACGACGAACCACGACATCATACGCAGCAGTTGCAGTTGCAACTACAGGCTGTCATGCTGTTGCAGCTGCTGGCATGCCGATGGGGCCGAGCAGTTGGAAACTCGTCTTCCCTTTGAAGAGAGGGTCCCCAGAAATCGGATTTTTTGGGACTTTTGGAGGATTTCAATGTCATAACTGTAATCAGCGGCACGGAAAGGCCCCAGAATGACAAAAACATTGAAGGTGAAATTTTGGGTGTACGCTGCCTTCAAGGGCCGGACATACTTTAAGCGATTTCAGTCGCAATGTGATTTGGCAACTCGCCAAAAGTCTTCCGATCCAACATTAGCAAACTGCACATAGTGTGTATAACTTACGTAAGTTAATAAAATGCCCTATTTTCTGTGCATCTGAATTGTGCTTACAATGTGGTTATGGACACTTGGATATTGCCAAATCGCGTCGCGAGTGGTATCGCGTGGAGTATGCCAGGCCCGGTGGAGCTGAGTTGTCTACGGAAATCTTACTTACTGTAGCGCTGGCAACGATTGAAAAAGTTGCGCTCAATGATCACACCCGGCACCAGTCATGTCTAAGCCCCTAGCCCCTATTTTTGACGAAAAAGTGGACTTACTATCTGTGTATTGGTGAGCATGAGATGTATCTGCGTCCTTTCCACCAGTCATCACGAAACATCGCGCTACAACCCATACTACACTAGCCACAGAAATGAGATTCACCAGAGGATCGAGGAAAACGCGCTCAAATTTTATGTCTTCGATTCGCACGTAATTTTACTTACGTACTCACCACTGCCATACTACCACAACTGGATGCAGAAAATGAATCTAACTCATTGGCGACTGATGCATGTCTACCGAACCGATTGCGCAGATATGAAAAATGAAATTCAAACGAGTATTATAGGCTAACATTAACGATACAACCATTGCCGAGACTTTGCCAAGGTCTTGTATATGCAATGCTGGCCAGAACTTTGCAGCCAGCTTGGAATTTTGCTATAAATTACTTTGTTTGGCAAAATTAGATATCGCGTGCATACACTACTTAACACTGTGCAAAAATTCTACAATTCCATACATGCAGAAGGCCCTGGGAAAAATGGCGCACCCCTTAACCCTAAAAGGGCGCTGCTGCTTCGGAAATATTTGTGCAATTATCACATTCAGAAAATGTTCAATTGGCCAAAGGGAATCATCAGTTGTGGAGAGTGCGTAAATTTTTCTGTAGCAATAGTGCCTCCATGTTTCCAATGAAGCTTTGCGAGCTTCGGACGAGTGCTCGTCTTTGTAAAATCAGGGTTTTCATTCACTTTGGAGTCTGTTCAGACACTGGGCCCAATTTTTGAGCCGGAAGTTGCTCCGAGTTTGAATCGAGATGGTGGTAGATTTGAAAGCATGCCAATTATTGCTTCTTCTTTCACATTCGCAAACCGCCACCAAACGTCTGAACGGTACAACCTTCCATAGGAGCACAGATCAGCCGATTTCTCGAAAACCTGACAATTTCCAATTTTTGCGGTCACTTGGGTCCAAACAAGTTTGCTTTAAAGTCTCCTTATTGAAGTTTGATGGGTTCTGGTTCCACGCAGTTTGGGAATTAGAGGTGCATCTGTAGCCCAAATAGGTAGGTGACAAGTTTTCCCAAGACGTTTAGCAGTAGGTGGCTGCAATTTTTGACCAGCTTCGATTTTGTCATTTTTTCCCCGGAGGCCCCCTTCTGCGTGCATGGAATTGCAAAAAATTTTCGGCATAGTGTTTCGCAGTGTAATTTGCACGCAATGTCAAAGTTTTAATTCGTTGTATGCGAAACAGAGTAAGCTATAACAAATTTCAGGGTGACTGCAAGCTTTTGGCCAGCACTATATACATAGTGTATGCCCCTCCAGCTTCCCATAGGTACACCGCGGTGGGCGCAGAGCAGAGCCGTCCTATTGTTACGTAATATCTTGGTTCTGGAACTTTATCGATCTAATTCCCTTCTTTCTTGTATTGAGTTTCTTATATTTTGCCTTCTAATCTGACGCTCTGATCTAGCCAATGGAATCCTGGCACACCGACCGTTATAAAGGGTGTTATGCCCACAGATCTCAATCCAAGGCGCAATGAAATCGTAAAAGCTCTTATAAACATTATTGCTAAAATCGAAAATTGCGATGAGATGTGGGACACTTCCGAAAACTCACACACTAAAAAGTCCCTAATCAGGTGCCCCTTGAACACCGTCTATCCGAATTCGGACACATGTTTTTGTCGTTTCGGGCCTTCTCATCTCTTAATTCCGATTATCAAGTCGAGAATCCGCGATACCCCTATAATCCCCGTTCCGTAGAACCCGCAGTGCGAGCTCTCCGGAACAGCGATTGGTTGGATGCGCACGGATGGGCGAGAGAAACCGTTAGCCTCACATAAAGGGGAGGAACCAACGAGGCGAAGCCGTCACTCGAGGCAATTTTCTCGCTTCTGAAGCAACTTTTGGCAACGCGAGTTGGGCACGTATACAGTTGGGGGCACCGCTACTGAAAAACAGCAAAATCTCATCGCTCCATTTTAGGAGGACGGTGCCTCTAACTCTTAAGTGTCTTTGAGCAGTTTGAGCGCGCGCGTTGTGCTCCGCGGAGACCCTCTGTGGGAAGCTGGCCGGATCGCATTATTTCGACGAAGTAACTAGCCATGAATGAGTGCTTGTGTGATGATTTTTGAAGGTTTTGTTTTGAAGCTGTGGTTTTCTTCTTGAGCAAGGTCAAGAATTGGATAAGATTACAAATCAGCAAGACTTATTTCATGAGGTACGCTGTGAAAAACGCTCAATCGGAGCTAGGACTGCACCTACGAAAACGACAGCTGAATCAGACGAACGCTATATGCAGTGTTCACCATAGAGAAGAACCCTTTAATCCCCTTGTTTGCTAGCAAAACAACTTTCAGTTCAGGTTGTTTGAACATGAGGCTGGACCCCGAGTTTGTGGCCTTTGAAGAGTTTCTAAGCATGCTGTGAAAAATGAAACAGCACAAAATGTTACTACCAACGCAATAAAAATAATTCAATCTTGCTGCCAGTGCAGTGTCAGTCAATAATTCACAATCAGTATTCTCCTTTTCGTGAAGCACAAAGCTTTACATATGCCATACCAGTACTATCTAAGAGAAAGGAGATTTGTAGAGTTAGTTGAAGACTTGCAGTTTTTTAAAAGTCATCTTTGATTCAATCTTGTGATGTGGTTTCACTGCTATAAAATGGCTGGGAGATGATGCTCCCAAGGAAAGCCCAAGCCTTTGGGAATAGCGAGAAAGACTGCCCAACTTAAGGGCTGGTATATACACTCTATTGCCCAAAAAACCATAAGGTGCAGATAAGCCTGACAGCGTACGATGAAAGCGTACAACAATCGCTGATTAATAAAATGCATCCACAAATACAGGGAGGCGTGCAAGTCTTACCCAGGCAGCCGCCTGGTGTCGCAGCCAGCCGCCAGAGCTGGCACCAACGCCGCGGCTCAGCTACAGTAAGCGCGCTCTCGTCGTCCTCAACCTCTCGCGGAGAGATTTTCGCAGCAGCCTCGCACCTCATCGCGCTGAGGTGCGAGAATTCCCTCAGAGGTACTGCCACATATTATATATCGATCAAGACAGCAGAAAATTTGTAGTTCATTAGTAAGATACAGTACAAAACATATACAAAAACAAAAGAAGTTTCAAAAAATAAATTGATGGAATAGTTATAAAATTGAACTAAAAGCATGATATTCATGGAATGAATTTTCTTCGTTTACTAGTAATTCCTCTTTTCTTTTTTTAATCTCGAAATTAATGAACTTTCCATTTTTAGAGTTGCATCCTTGCAAATCACTAGGATAGAAATGTACAAATTTCTGAATTTTGAAAAATTAAGACAATCGTAGAAATCGGACTAAAAGCGCTGACTGGGGACGGCGTCCACGTTAAATCCCATAACGATTTGAGCAGATAGAAAAAGGACAATTATACACCGTCCACGCAATGTGTGGCGCAGGTTTTGAAGTTCGTGAAGAATTTTCAAATGAATAAAGCAAAATCGAAAAAAAATTCCAGGTCTCAACTTTATTCGTCATCACACAAAAGAAAAATCGCGCAACTTACAAGCTTATTTTTGACTGCCTGAAAGGGAAATTAGAAAAAAGGAAATTTTAGAATAATTCTAGATGTATAGTTTTTATTGCTTAAAAATTTTAATGATTTAATTGGAAAATTGAAACTTTCAATTTAATTTTATAACTAAATTTATTTTTTAAAACTTCTTTTGTTTTTGTATATGTTTTGTATTGTATCTTACTAATAAACTACAAATTTTCTGCTGTCTTGATCAATATATAATATGTGGCAGTAGCGCGACCTCTGAGGGAATTCTCGCACCTCAGCGCGATGAGGTGCGAGGCTGCTGCGAAAATCTCTCTGCGAGAGGTTGAGGACGACGAGAGCGCGCTTACGGTAGCTGAGCCGCGGCGTTGGTGCCAGCTCTGGCGGCTGGCTGCGACACCAGGCGGCTGCCTGGGTAACACTTGCTACGCACCCACAAATACATTTCGGAATTTATGGTTTTTTGTAGACGTCGGCTTTTTTTAAACGAGTAAGGCAGCGTGAAACTAGTTTCACAGACATCTATCATTGGTTATTGTATTCAACTAACTCAAAATTATTGAATTCATTTTGCATTTTCAACTCGGCTGTTGTGTTACATGCAATTATTTATGGTTCGCCTATTGCTTTTTACCCTAATTTCACGCGTACAAGGCGCTGGGATTTAATTTTCTAAAATTCGCCAGCCCAAACACGCCACAACACTTGGCGACCAAAGAACCTATATTGGGTTTCATACTGCCTGAGAGAATTGAACGGTTTAAGGTTCGCTTTCCGAAACAGGTTGAAGCTGTTGAGCGGCTTGTTTGAAATCGAAAAAGGTACGCGTGAAATTAGGGTAATTGTAATGTCAACTAATTATACTGAATGTGGTTGGAGTCTTTGACCGTTATTCGTGAACGCTCACGCATGCAGATGATTGTTACGATGGTTCATGCACAATTTAAAATTATGTTCATGAAGTGACGTAAACTCCGAACGTAGGAAGAAAACAAAGCATTCAAACGTTATTTTCAGTTCAACCCTATGAAATGTATGTTTTACTGATATGTATCGATCATCTGTTATAGGTGCTCAACCTAATACCAAGAAGGGTGGCTTATGATAGTTTTCTTCATCAACGTTTGTGTACCATGAAATTGAAGGCAGCGTACGTGCAAAACTTTGACTGAAGAATTTTTCGCTTACTTGAGCTCATCCTTCCCGCTGTTCCAGAATGTTGCAGACTGTGCCGAAAATGTCAAGAACGGATTTTTGGAGCCCATGATTTTGAATATGCACGCACGGATGCAAATCCCGCCAAGATTGAGTCGCAAACTTGTGGGACCCAAAGATCATGACTGTGTACCTGCCCAACTAGCTCAAGAATTTCGTTTTTTCTTGTAGGACAGCGAAGAATGGGAACTCATCATAAGGAGAAATCGCCATGACCAACAAACCAGAAACCTGTTTGTTGGATGTGTAATCAGTTTGCCGCTCTTTCTGTAAAACACGACATTATCAGCAAATGAGACACTAAGTATTCAAGAAGTCTTTGCTATTTGCCCAATTCCATACCTTTCAGCATATGTGTAAGTGGCGAGAAGAGAAGAGAACACTTTTCAAAAGATTTTCCATTCTTACGTCTCGCAAATTATAGTTAGCAGAGTCTCTATGGCTCAGTTTGTTGACAAAAAATTCCTAAAGGTGATTTAATTGTATGAAATGTGTAGAAAATAAGAACTTACTGTTTGATACCCATTTGAGTATGTCAGCGAATGGTTCGCGATCACTAAGTCAAAGCAGGTATCGTCTGAAGCAATGACGCTCAAATACTTTTTCATGAATCAATATGCATATTTAAAAGTTTTGATGCAGTTTCCCTGCACTATGTCAAAGCATTTCCGTCTTTGATTGAGAAATTAGTTTCGTGCATTCTTTGTTAGACACCTTCCTGAAGATGTCTCACTGTCGTCTTTCAGGTCAGAAGTTCTAGTCCCGTGCTCCATGATCTACGCGCTTTTGCTACTGCTATGGTTGCCACTGTCAGCTGATGCAGAAGATCTCATTGAATCTCAGAAGTGCTTTTTTCGCTGCACCGCCAAATGTTTAGGCTGGCCACAGGTAGATTTTGAACTTTCTTTCCGGTGGTAGCGTAGTTTAGCTGTTTCAATAACGTATTTACTTGATTTTGTATGGTTGCCGCACCTTATTAAAGTAGATGTAGCAGTCCAAGCCTACTCTGGAAGCATATGGGTGGAGGGTATCGCATTGTGTTACTATTGTTGTGCTGGCTGCCCACATACGCTTCAGGGAAGTCGGAGCTCATAGTCACTGTATATTTCAGAACAGCACGGTACAGGAATGTCAGGCAGATTGCAAGGATCCGCAATTTTGTGTATGTTGTTACGTTCTTGCCTTCTTTACAAGGTTGAACAACTCCAGAACACAACCGATGAGTACTGCTTGGATAGTTGCAATACCTCCATCTCGACGATGCCCCTGGAACGCGTCAGTGGGCTTCATACGGAGGAGCAGAATTTGACGACGGTTGTTGTCTTTCCTCCTGTTAGGAACGCCACTCTTTACGTCGTGCAATACAAACTGTCGGACGAAGCCATTTTTTCTTCGCAGAGCTATCTGGTAAAAACAACAATACATAATACTATGACCCAGCACGAAGGTGATAATCGTTAACCTAGAAGTGGAGTTAAGGTTATAGCAAATGATTCTCTGAATTTAGCTCAACGGGACTGACATAGTAAAAAGGATCTACACAAAATGTGAGATTTATAAGAAAATCTTTTCACTAAAAAAGCAACTTTAGTATGGTGATCTGGGATGAGACACAATGCTGAGGTCAGCAATAGATGCACACCTCAAAACTGCTATTTTTTGTAATTTTTTTTGAAAAAACCTATAAATTCAATCATGTCAACACACCATTTAGGTTCCTTCATACTACGTCTTGCAGTCGCTGACTACCGCAGCTTCGCTATCTGGCGAGTTCCTCTGCTGTGCACAAAGCAACAAGTTAATCTGCAAAAATCTGGTAACTCATAAGCGGTAATACACAAATTATCGTTATGAAGTCATTGACTGAGAACTAGCTGGAGCGAAACAAGTTTGATGGAATCGAGAATGCACCCAACTTTGAGTCTGAATGGAGAACCATTGACTATGATGAGACAAGTCGAAAAAGAAAGAAGACTGCTAACTCTAAACGAATATCATCTGAGACAACGTGCACAGCAGGGTAACATCGCCAAAGCGCGAGGCTTCTCATGACCATATTTTCGCTGCGACTGCAACCACGCACGCCGCAGGCTGCCCTGCATATTTCATTTCAAACGGCCACTTTGACTGTGAGTGTTCTTTTCGTATGTACCCTTTGCAACAACCATCGGTGACTGAAAGGCGGGGCTGGTGACCTAATTAAGGCCACAAAATAGTCAGAGAGCTTGTTCGCGAGGGAGGCGCAGACTACATAGCGGACGCAAGCATCGCCCTTAGTTCATGAAACCACGCCTTCCAGCAGGCGATCCGGTTAAAGGCAGTGGATCGGCAAATTCCAACAACTCGGGATTTTAACGCGGTAGGTTCCTTATCGCCCAACTATAAAAACGGTGCAATCTCGGTTGCACAGCATGCTTTCCCTGCCGAGAAAATCGCTCTCGAACTTACACGCGCAGGCCAATCTTACACGCATCCGGACGAGTTGGCAATTTCCTTCTCACCATTGGAGGCTGCCCGCCGCAACGCTATAACCATTGGGTCTTGCAACGAATTAGCGTCATCGGCCTTGCTCCCTCGTCCAATAGCAAAGGGAAGGGCATTAAAAAACGCTCATTTTCGCCGTTTTCAAGCTTTCAAAAGTGGATTTTCGGGATCAGCGTATTGAAAAACCCCGGGTAAGCGCAAATCTGACTAGGTTGAGATTTGCCAAGCCACTGCCCTCAAAGGCAGTGGCTCGGCAAAAATCGTATTCAGCTTATTCTCAGCTGGTCCATCCGTTCCTCGATCATGCCTGCCCATCTCGTTGGAGTTCTTCCTCGGGGACGTTTTGCTTCGCGAAGAATCCTCTCCGATGTTCTTAAAGGCAGTGGCTCGGCAGATCTAAACCTAGTCAGATTTGCGCTTACCTGGGGTTTTTCAATACGCTGAACCCTAAAATCCACTTTTGAAAGCTTGAAAACGGCGAAAATAAGCGTTTTTCAATGCCCTTCCCTTTGGAATTGGACGAGCGGAGTAAGGCCGATGACGCTAATTCGTTGCAAGACCCAATGGTTATAGCGTTGCGGCGGGCAGCCTCCAATGGTAAGAAGGAAATTGCCAGCTCGTCCAGATGCGTGTAAGATTGGCCTGCGCGGCCTGCCTGCCTGTAAGTTCGAGAGCGATTTTCTCGGCAGGGAAAGCGTGCTGTGCAACCGGGCTTGCACTATTTTCATAGTTAGACGATAAGGAACCTATCGCGTTGAAATCCCGAGTTGCTGGATTTTGTCGATCCACTGCCTTCAAAACAAAGCGTACATTGGCCCATACCTCTCCATAACACTACATGCCAATAGCTGCTCAAAGACAACTATCGGGTTAATGCATGACTCTGACATTGGATTGGTTAAAAATTTACGTTTTCATCCAATTTCAGTAAAATTTTCAATTGATACATATCCAGAAAAAAATCTTGAGATTTCTAGGGATGCTCAGATTAGAAATCTTTATTAGCGCAGTCATCAATCTAATCAGAGAAACACTCAAGCGTTTTTATTTCGATCGAAAGCGCGTCCAATTGAATTCGTCCAATGGAATCTATTGCGGATTTGATCTCGGTCTTATGATTTGATCTTCTAACTAAGAAAGGTATAGTTCATACAAATACAGTGCGAGTAGATGTGATTTTCAAATTTTTGCCTATTCGATGCTGATTCAGATAACCCACCCGTGGTGAACCTCCGTATTTAGCTTGGCTGAAACGGGTTCAGGTGTCCTTACGTTGGTCCAAGTTCTCTTTATGAGCCAGATGTAGGTCGATAGTTTGGTGTCAACCGAACTGTCGATTCGAATCTGTATTGCTTTATGGACATGATAAACCTGCTTTTTTGAGCAAAAACAGGCGCTTTTTTGTGCGGGTTTGGGAATGGGTAAAATAGTGCGTTGCAACCTTAAGGGCGGTGGCTCGGCAAATCCTCGACTTGAAGTTTTTCCGCTTACCTGGGGTAATTCAAGGCGCTGATTCCGAATAGCACATTGAAGAGCACGGCAATGTCGAAAACTAGCATTTTCCGAGTGTTTTTATTTTGAATTTGAACGAGTGGACGGCTTCCCGCCATGGTTAGAGACGTAGAGTCCTTGCGGAACCCTCATGTTTATGGCATTGTGCCATGCCGCCTCTGACGGTGGGAGAAGGACCGCGAGCTCGTCCGAGCGCGTGTAAGAGTGGCTTGCGCGCACGGGTTTAGGGGCAGTTTTCTGGGCAAAGGCAGCATGTAGTGAGCTCGAACCTGCTCTGTTTTGAGGTTTGGGATGCAGGCAACCTTTCACATCAAAATTTTGAGATGTTTGGTTTTGCCGAGCCACTGCCTTCAATGACCATGCCTTAAAACTGCCCAATTTTTGCTGCATCGCAGGGCAGTCTTTGATACGTCAAATAGAAGCAAGGTAAGAATCCCTCAAAAATTGTGCCATTTTTTTGCAAAAAAAGCTTCATTTGTTTCTCCTGGCTGAATCTGCTATTCATCACTCCTTTCTATAACTAGGCCACCGAACTTCTGCATTTTCACGCAGTTGTGTCTGCGGCATTCTATCAACTCACGTGTCCCTTGAAATCTTGAGCAACATAGAGACTTTTATCTAATTTTCGCTTTTGCGCACCTCTTCTTATGTTCGACTTACGATCTCTCATAAGTCCCCGCGAAGAAGTCTACAATGGTTGAATGATAAATTCATCAACTATGCTTCAGTATTTATTCGGTTTAGTACTAGAGCTGAAAAGGGTATAGGAGATTCTCTGATATGTGTATGATTGAGTCGTTTCAAAGTTTTGTAGACTTTTCATTTTTATCGTCGTGTCGTGATAAACACACGACCCCGTGCCCAAATCTCACCCCTTTGTGATCATTGTGCTTACATCGTAAACTTTTCACAAACAGTCCGTCATATGGCAGACTCTTTGTACCCGTTAGGGCCAGCCTCCTGCTGGCCAACTTTACCCTCACTCTTCACATTGTCGTGTGCCGGAACAACCGGCCGGATTTGTGCTCCAATAAATACTTTTATTCCCCCGAGTGTTAGCAGAATCACAGAAGGGTCCCCCAAAAATCACTGAACCACCACAATTTTTGGTGCATCGGCCGGGAAGCGAACCCGGGCCGCCCTCGTTTTTTGAAGGAGCAGTTGGTTTACGGCAACCTATACCGTTCGAAAGAGCCATTCTTGCTCTACAATACCTATCCTCCAACTGAAAGGAAACTTAAAGCCCTTTGTTTTCACGACTTCTCATGGCGAAGTTTTTAACGGGGCAAAAATTGGCGGTTTCTGCATATGTACTTTCCGAATTTGGTCCCTTTACCACGAAGTTTTTTCTTTATTTATAGGCGGTATAGCTAGTGGCAAGCAATACTGATAACTGCCAAATCACTCTAATATGCACTCTAATATGTAAGAATTGTTTGGTCTCAATAGTTGCTGTTGTCAGTTGCAGCCGTTCGAGTCGCGTTGTTTCTCAACAGAATGTTGAGAAACATCTAAAGCATCTAAAGCAATTCAGAGCAAAACATTTACACTTATGTTAAAAGTGCGCTTCATCCTTCCTTGTAGTGTCTCTTTTGACATGGAAGCAACATTCATATGCACCATGATCTCGTAATCACTTGTTCCTCATCAAAAGATTTCTGATGGAAAATTTGTATTAGTGATTTCCATGTATGGAGCGGAAGATGCAGGTGCCAAAATCTCAGAATTTTGTCGCTCAAAAAACCTTGCTTTGAGAAGTCATATAATAAAGAATACCAGGCTTGCACCGAAATTGAAGGATAGACATCTTAAAGCAAGATTTGCTCTTTCAAATGATATAAGCGGTTTGCCGTAAACCACCGTTTCTCTAAGGAATTCCTTTCTCTTTGACTACATTAGTTGTAAATGAATTGCTTACAACTGTGTTTGGCAAACAATAATACGAAAAAAGCCAATATGCAAATATGAATGGGACTGAAATAAAAAAGATAAGAGACACTTATATAAAAAAGGTGAAGGTTGCTTGCCGCTTACCTTATAAGGTGAGTTATTGCCCAATCACGTTCCAGTCAAGGTGGACAACTTTTTTGATGAAATAATATTTCAACATTTTTAGGTAGTCTACCTTGTAGAAATGGTTTGAAGCTACTCCTCTCCTCTTTGATAAGTTTTTTCAGCATTGAAAACTTTACCTTCATAAAGAATAGCCGTTTAAGCTGAATTCAATATAGCGCTCACAAAAAATTTTGAATGACAAATTTAGTTTCCAGTCAGGAACTTCGGTTGCCGTCGTCGTGCTGGGGCCTACTACAGCTTCCTTCAGAATAATCTTGTCTTTCAGATCTCGCCTCAACCGACTTTCACAAACTCTATGAGGCCAAAGTCAATATTCTGCAAGCCCATCGACATTC